CAGCCAAACCTAGGACAGTCTTTATATTGTCTATCTTTTGTTTTGTACTGCAATGCTGATTTGGGAAAGGTAGACCTGTGAGAAATCCACCAGTTTAATGTCCTTCGCATGTTAGATGAGATCATCCCACTCATAAAGGCCTTGATTTATATTCTGAGAACATGAGTTGACTCAGAATTATTTCCATTATTGGAGAGGGGAGATCAAACTCTTTTCAGGAATCCTACTAACTTAAGCCCCCCAAAATACAGGAAAAGGTTTATCTATTTTATTGACAGTATTTTAATGAGTAAATGCGCTAAGTGCAAAAAAACCAATTCCCTAGTTATGGTTCTCAGTTACTGTCAATATCACAGTTGCCTTTGCATTGCTTTGCTTTTGTTTTGGCAGAACTGCCTGGGTCCCCTTATGAACATTTTGAGGGAGCACATTGTTGGTATGGAGAAGGAGCACCTGATCTCCCATCAGCCTGAACTTACTGCATTTTTCATGAAAGTCCTGGACTTCCGAACAGACCATGCCCAGGTAGCTTGGTTGTGGGGATAAGCAGCAGCAGCAGCTACACCTCTACATGCTAATTCTATCTGTTTAAAAAATATTAGTAGATTCCATTGCAAATGTGCTCTGAAATTCTAGGTATCAAATATTCTGTTCCAGAATTGTTCTTGCAGTAGAAAACATGTTAGTTAGGTATTCAGTCTGAAACAGACAAAATTAAAATGTGCTTCGAAAGCTGAAATTCTTGCATTTCAAACTTAGAATTGTTTTCTGATTTTTCTAGGATGATTTAGAGGAAGTTGGGAAGACAGAGGCTTTCATTATTGATTGTCTAATAAGTATGGTTATGAAACTTTCCGAGGCTTCTTTCAGGCCCCTCTTTTTCAAGGTAAGAAGTCTAAATGTAATTCACCTGCATTAGCATATTTGTATTTTCCAGTGCACAGACACAGGAAAGAGCTAATCTGCCTTTCCCTTGCAGCTCTTTGATTGGTCCAAAACAGAATCTACCCGAAAAGACAGGCTGCTGACATTCCACCGAATAGCAGATTGCATTGCAGACAAGCTCAAGGGTCTCTTCACCCTGTTTGCTGGTCATTTAGTGAAGCCATTTGCTGAGACGCTGAACCAGGTCAACATTTCTAAAACTGGTAAGTTGTCCATTACTGGCTACAGAGAGACATTGACAGGCTCAGTCTGAATTGCTGAGAAATTAATTATAATTGCTGAAAGTTTAGTCTTACAGGATTTACTTCACAGCACATACCTCTCATTTCTCTCTTCTGTCTTTCTCTGGTAAATGAGAACATCTTTCTCTGGTGGAACCAAAGGACATTTTTCAGCCATGGGTTCTGGGCTGCCATTACAAAGTTGAGACCACATGAAAATTTTCAGTGTCAGTCCCATTGAGTTCCCTGAGTGTGAAATTGTGTGGAAAGAGGGAGACTTGTTTCTGTTTGGGTTTTTAATTTTTCATTCATTGACTTCTCTTATATGCTACCTAATGTACTCAGACAGCTCTGTTTTCTGGGCAAAAATAAGTCTTACTGTTTTGTATGGGAAACTATTTGCCCATTCCAGTTGTAGTGATCTCAAGAAGTTCTTCATATCCACAGGTATGGTCACTTTTTCTGTAGCCTGTGGTTATTCTCTTTTATCCCCATCAGTCTGTGAAGGGCAGTGGCAGACCTGCTGGGGCGGTAGCTAAAAGACAGATAACATATTGCATCCACTTTATTGTTCTGAGTGAGGAGTACACAAGTGCTATGTAGGACATCTTTTAGCTACATTCACAAGCTAGCAATGTTTCTATATTGTGGGCAAGTTTTGTGTTTTCATTTTGTCAATGGTTTTTTTTTCTTCTCCTTGATTGGTGTGTAGATGAAGCTTTCTTTGACTCTGACAATAACATAGAAAAGAGCTGTCTACTGCTGCAGTTCACCTTGGACTGTCTGCACAAACTCTTCCTGTTTGACACCCAGAAGTTCCTGAGTAAGGAAAGAGCAGAAACCTTGATGCAGCCTCTGGTTGATCAGGTATTGACAAACTCTTAAAACAATTCATAGGTTTGGGTTTTTTTCTCCTCCACCTGATAGTTAAAAATATCAGGTGACCTCTTAACAAAAAGGGGGGAAATAGTTCCAATTGTCTTTGGGCTACAGACAGTATTAACTGCTTTGCCTAAGGCTCTAAATTACTGATTTTTTTTTTACCCTCTTTCTAAATGTCTTCAGTCTGTAAGGTTCATGCATGTTGTTGAGCTCTTGCAGACCAGTGTGCTCACACTGATGCTCTTTGACCTTGAGTACCTGAAAGCCAAAGCTAGAAGTGCTTTTGGCTGGGTTTATCTGAGCCTGGATCTGTTTTACTTCCACAGCTAGAAAATGTGCTTGGAGGAGATGAGAAGTTTCAGGAAAGAGTGACAGAACACCTGATACCCTGCATAGCTCAGTTTTCAGTGGCAATGGCAGATGATTCTCTTTGGAAACCACTGAACTACCACATCCTGCTGAAAACGAGGCACAATTCTCCTAAGGTTGGGACATATCAGAATTTGAACTGGTTTTCTTTGTTGTGTTAGAAAATGGGAACAGGGCCCCCAAAACCAGAAGTGAATTAAGTCATTACTAAAATACCAACCTAAATGCAAATACTGGTGCTGTAATATGGTACTCCCAAGTTGTAGAGACGTATACAACATGCTCTTCTGCTCTTATTGCAAGCCATCAATATTCCACATCTTTCATACTGTGTGGTTTGAGTTTTTTAAAGATTTGGTAGCTGCTGGAATATAAGCACTAATCTATTTGTGTATAAAAACCGGGGCACTTAAGAGGGAGAACTGGAAGACAGTTATTTATCAGCTTTCAGACCTATTTATTATATAAGAGGGTTTTGTCTCCTATTTGATAGGTTATACATATTCAAGGAGAGTTACTTGGTTTTTCTTAGTGCTGAGCTAAGCCCTGATGCCAGTGGAAGTGGCATTGTACCAGAAGGTTAAAGACCGTTATAATATAAATATATAAATATATTTATAAATATATAAATAACTTGCAGCAACATATCTGCTTCTTGCAACCTGTTTTTCGTTTGACATTATCTTAACCCAGATGTTAATATTTAAATTACCTTAAAACTAGTTTCCTTTGGTAATTGAAAGTGAGATTACAACCTTATAATGGAAAGAAGGCAGGGGTGGGGGGGAAACAGGGAACTGCAGTGTAATGTTTGTTTCCTTACTTAGATTATTGTTTTGGTTTAGGTCCGATTTGCTTCCCTGCTTGCTTTGATAGAAGTTGCACAAAAACTGAAGGAGAACTACCTCGTCCTGCTACCAGAATCTATTCCATTCTTAGCTGAGCTTATGGAAGGTAATGTTCTAAACTGGCATTAGTGAAGGGTGACCTATTTTAAAGATGCAGACAGGCTGATTGCTATAACTGCTATAAATCTTTCTAATTGGTATACAGTGGCTTAAACTCAGCAAGATGCAAACTTAAATGGATTATATCCAATACACTCATAAAGTTCAGTTAAATTACAGCAGTTTCTTCAGTGTTGTTGCCTGTGCACATCTCCCCAGTTGTATGTTTTAGATCAGTGTTACAGTAGAAATAATTTGCTTAATTCAGTCACAAAATATTTCTGAAAAATTATTTTATACCTGGTGTTTGAAGATGGTTCTAACTTTGATGAGTGATGAAGCCTTCCTAGGGTAGCTGTGTAAGCATTGTTCTACTTAATTCCTGCTCTATTTTTTTTTTCTAGATGAATGTGAAGAAGTTGAACAGCAATGTCAGAAGACAATTCAACAACTGGAAGTAATTTTGGGAGAACCACTCCAAAGCTACTTCTGAGTTTATGCCCTTTGTTTTCAAATTTTGTCTGAATTGTGTTAGCTTCACACGTTCAAGTGTTACAGGCAAACTGTCATAATTTTTATCAGAGCCAAGATTTTAACTTTTTAATAAAATATTTTAAGAATGTGGTTTTGTCATTTCTGGCTGGACTGGGGACTTATGACTTTTCCTCAACTGCCCTTTTATTAAAAGTGGAAAACTGGAGCAGGCTCTAAGCAAATTCTGATAGCTGGGCACAGAGTGAAAACGTGAGACTGGCTGAACTCCACTGTGCTGGGGGCATACATTTACTGTCCCAGTGGAGGAGCTGTCGTTTTCCAAGCACAGTACTCACTGGACCCATGCACTATAAGCCTGAAAATCTGCTCTTTCTGTCATTTATAGGGAAGTAAAAACTAGCCCCACTGAAGATACTGAAAAGGAAGTTTCCAAGAAACTGATTCATACAGAAACTAAATCTGTTTTTCAGTCTTTGAAGACTGCTACTGCTTAGTTAAAGTTCAAGAATAAATTGCTTGCTATGAGAAGGAATTTACCAAAAAACTCACCACCTGTTTTGCACCAGGAGGTACTGGTTCATTACACTGGTAGTAAGAAAGGCACTCAGACTCTGTAAAGTATGGTTGAAAATGCAACTGGTTACAACCTACTCTATAAAGAGATGATCTTACATCCCATTGGGTGCTGGGAACGGGTCTCTCTCCAGGGTGCAGCTCCCATACACGGAAAGGTTACCCCATTCAAGCTCTTACAGGATTTTCTGAAAACAACTGTTAATTGTGTCTGCTGTCAAACAAAAAGGATGGTCACACGAGAACTTCCCGCTGAACTCTTACAGGAAGGCAAGGTGTGTTATTGCCATTAGGAGCTGCCTACCAGCTCCTCTGTTACAATCAGCCAGCTAAGTTTATCCTGCAGCCCAGGGGGACATACAGCACACCACTGTCCTGAAGGCCACACCAGCACAGCCAAGGCCCAGCCCTACGCCTGCTCAGGTTAACTGGTGTGTGGATCACTAATTCCACTAAGTGGAAATGGTTTTCCAGTCAGGGTCACTGCCAACTTGGAGATACTGGTAGTACAGTAAGCAAAACAAGACAAGATATAACCAAAAAGGGATCATAGCTACTTAGCCACACCTGGAGAAAAGCAGAGTTCACAGATGTTTTTATTTATGCTTTTATACATTAAATCTGGTAATTAACAGTCTTTTAGTGTACATCTTATTCTTGAAATTGCTTCACTTCTGGCAGCTCTTAAGATAAATAGGGTCATCCTTCAGGCATGTATTGACAGTCAATAGCAACTTATTTTTAAAAATAATTTAAAAATTAGACTGACATTTGTACAGAAAACTGAATAGGAACATTGTTTCACACCGATAGTATTTTAATACAGGACTGAAAAAGGATTCATTCTCTAGTGACTACTTGAGCAGTCACTCAAGTGCCCTCTCAGCTGAAACCCTACCTGGAGTACCTGGTTCACACATTTTTCAAAAACAAAACCCACGAACATCATCTTCAGGCTCTAAGCAGTTAACTCAGTTAGGAGGTAACTCAGATCAAATAAGCTTTCAAAAGTTCATGAAATTAGAACCAGCTAAATCATTTTCCTTTGTTTCACTTTGGAAAACTGAAAGGTAGAAATGTCAGGCCCCTTAGAAGCAGGAAGTGATATAACCATGAGTGTCAGAGAAGGTACTGCTGCAGCAGCAGGCTAAGAATTAAGATCAAACTCCTCCTTGCCTTTTGCTAGAACTAATGGGTCAACTGTTTGCTTAATCTAGCCTCAGTAAAAAGGTTATAATTGCTAATATAAACTAAGAAGTAGGAAAGTATATTTCATAGTTCTATTTTAAATAAATTATGAACATCCCTTTTGAGGTGGATAACTGTATCTTTGGATCCTATTCCAGTCTCATTTCTACATCACAATAGGAATGTATGCTATCGAGAAATGATGAATAGTAGTTTAACTTAAACATAACAAGTGCAATCGTTAGACACAGTAGGTTGCAGCATTTTGATATTGCTAGGTTCAGTAATACAGGAGATTTATCTGAGCAAACACTTAGCTTGCCAGGAAACTGTAAACTGGAGGAGGATTTAATCTTGCAGTTAGCAATTCTGGTACTTGCCTAACTCAGGCAGATGCAGAAGCCTAGACAGATTAAAGGCAGGCTCAGCATGAGTCAGCACCTGTTTGTACTTGACAAGGAGGCACTGTCATTAGAAGAGGCTTAATTCTTTTAGTACTGACTGAAAAGAACTACCAGCTTCTCACATCTAACAAGTGAACATCTCCTGTGACTTCCACTACGTTGATCTTTTCAAGTTGTTTAAAACGATGCTTGTACTCCAGAGTGTGAACACCATTAATAGCAACTTTGAACTGGTAGGCATCACAGAAAATAATCAGCTGAAAAGCAAGAAGAGAAACAGTAAAGTTTTAAGCTGAGGTAAGACATGAAAAACAACCTGATGACCTTGCCCAGACTTGGGCAAGACCTGCTTCTGTTACAGAGAATGTTTCATGCATAAACAACTTTTAAAAATAAAAGTGGAACATCAATAAAATTCACAGAATCATAGAATAACCTAAATTGCAAGGGACCCATTAGGCTTACCAAGTCCAACTCAATTCGATTAAAATTCATTCTAAGCACAGGCCAAATTCTTGCTTCTATTTAAAACCAAGTCAAAGCTCTGCTTATCCTAAATCTTCTCAAGACATTGAAATGCAGGAATAGCAGTTTTATTTAAATCTGTATGTTAATCCTTTTGGCAGAATTTCTTGTTTGATGCTTTGTTTCAGTTAATCTTACCTCAAAGTACATCCCTGGACTGAAAGGGAAGTTAGCAACTTCCTTTTCCTCTTCTCCCCAGCTGTCGTGAAGGTAGGAGTTTCTTACAAAAATTTTATTTTTCACTCGAGGATTCAGATGTAACGCAATGTCCTTTGAGTCACTTGGTCTCAAGTTTATAGCAAAGCTGGAAGATATTTTTTAAAAGGGTTTATAAACGTGTTGCAGTAGTCCCTGCCATTTACCAAGTCCTTAGCCAATACTCAGGACTGTTTGGGAGCCAGTGCCATGATTCACCTGAAGAACCAAGCAGGCAGCTAACATGCATTTGTCTCCCTTGCACAGAAACCTTTGCTGGAGGTAGCAAATGTAGGACGTGATCTGTCTAGATCAGCTTCACACTCACAGCTCTCTGCTCATGTCTCAGCAGGAAGGTATTGAGCCAAGAGGGCCAAGAGCTGACCCCCCTACTGCACTAGGAAGCAGCATTCTCACAGGAACACACCGTGCTGCCTGCTCCCCCTTCTCTTTCTCTTTCACTCAGACAATGGAGAGGGGGAGGCTTTGTTTTACCTAAAGACACTATTCTTTCTGCCAACAAACTGGTTAGACTCTGAGGAAAAGTTTTGAGGGTTCTCTCCATACACTCAAGACTAGTGGGACACCATGCATACAAAACATTATTCCGTAGGCAGCACAGCTCTGCCCAGGCTAAATGAACACTCCGCAGTCGCAGACATGTCCACAAAACAGGGTTCCTAAAGCAGAGCTCTGGAGAACAGCGATCAGAGGGAAGAGTCATCCAAATTCAAACAAATGCTTCAATCTGTGGCAAAGACCTTACTGCATTTGAAGAACAAATATTACCCTCTCCCTCCAAATTTGCTCTAGCTGTCAGATTATTACCCTCTTTTGAGAATTGCTCAGTCCAGATAGGAAATACTGCAGTACTTCCAAGCTGTGAAGTTCTCTTCTTCACCACGAAAAAGGAACATCAAGAACTGTGTGAAATGAGTGGAAGTCATGAAATAACTAATAAACTCCATGTAAATAGACATATTTAAAAGCTCAAACCCAAAGAGCAGACAACCTGAAATGCTTTAACTAACAGCCAAAAGCCTCTTCATGCTTATAAGCAGCACATTCAGCACTTGAAATGTGCTAATAAACTTTTCTCTCCAATTACTATTTATCCTGTTCAATCTGAAGTCCATCCAAACTTTGTTGATGAGATTTCTAGACTTAGGTTCCAGTATGAATGTGAACTTTGAATGCTGTTCAACTGCAGGGAAGAAACATGCCCTGAGAAAGCAGGAGTGCAATGCACACACACAGTGTGAAAAGTACGCTTTTCATCATTTGCCCTAATTGCTTCATTTTTAGGCATGTTTCTGCAGAGCCAAACCACTCTTTAAATAAAAAGCATGCTGAAGCACAGACATTTCCTCAGCTACATTTTGACTATGCTGTGTTCCCCTCCTCTCCCACCTTTTTTTCATGTTGGGAAAATGTCTTCTTTGTAACCTGTTGTTCCTAATTTGCTATCAAACTTATAGCTCATACTTCTCTAACAGCTTTCATAAAATCACAGAATAGCCTGGACTGGAAGGGATCTTAAAGATCATCTACTTTCAATGACCCTGCTGTGGGGAGGGACACCTTCCACTAGACCAGGTTGCTCCAAGCCCCAAACAACATGGCCTTGAACACTGCCAGGGATGGAACATTCACAACTTCCCTGGGCAACCTGTTCCAGTGCCTCGCCACCCTCACAGTAACAAATTTCTTCCCAATATCTAATCTAAACCTACTCCCTTTCAGTTGGAAGCCCTTTTCCCTTGTCCTGTCACTACATGCCCTTGTAAATAGTCTGTCTCCATCTTTCTTGTAGGCTCCCTTCAGATACCAGAAAGGTGCAATTAGGTCTCCCTCAAGCATTCTTTTTTTCCAGGCTGAACAATCCCAATTCTCTTAGCCTTTTCTCACAGGAGAGGAGTTCCATCCCTCTAATCACTCAGTTCATCACTCAGTTTTTGTCAGTTAGTACCTTCATGCATATACCGAGGAGGTTGTCAGAGAGGTATTCAGAGAAATGTTGTAACATGCAGCATTTGAGCACACCAGCAACTCGTCTAACTCACTCATTTTCCACCTATTTCTGCCAATTTCCCTACTCTTGAATCTCTTTAGAATAGAAACTGTCACTGTACAGTACATTTGCTCACACGCCTTGCACAATGGAAAGCCCTAAACAGATACACAAACATGTGAATGATGCAGATTTAGTAGGTAAGTCATTCAGGTTTTACCTTCACTTTTCACAATGGAGCTGCTCTTTAGTCCTCTTTAAAGCAGTATCCTGCAAGTTCCTGAGAAAACTGCACTGCAGTTTCAGATGATTCCAGACGCAAAGTTGCAAGTCAATAAGGATATACAGAGGCAATGGAAAAGCTTACTCATTCTCAAGAGTACTTTAGTTAAATAGCAGAAAAACAATCCATAACACATACCTCTTTGGGTTTTTATGCACTTCTCCTTTAATGGCAATTGTGCATCCTGGATGAAGTGCAGTGTCAAGTTTCCCAACGTAAGGAACACCCTGGAAGAATACCACCAGTAAAAGTTTTGACTGTGACTTACTTTTTCCAATATACAAGCTGAGCTTTACCACGGCAGGAAGAAATTTGGCCTACAATTGCGAATCTGCACCTACAGCTAAAGTTATTCCCATCAACATGTTCTGGAATGCTAATACTATAATGGAAAACTTAACACTGAAATAAGCATACCTCAGTGTTGGCTTTTTTCTTTAGATAACCACCTTGGGTTCAAAATTAGCGTTATTTACAACTACTTCTGCCACCACTAATGGTGGAAGGAGAGGAAAATGGCAAAAAAAAACCAAGAAAAATGTAAGAATGAAACTCCCTGTGATAATTTAATTTCAAAACACATAATTATATAGATACAGACATCCTGACCTTTCCTCTCTGAAAACATCAGGTTTGCTTTGAAGGGTAAGACTCATGCTAGGTGTGGTGTTCTCCCACAGTTGCATAAGTAGCAGAAGTAGGGTCAATGAGTATTCTGTCCTCCTGCATCAGTTCATAACGATAGACAGGGTAAATATTTTATTCATCTTATTTTTTCATTGTGTTAGAAGTTATTTTTATCAGGGAAAAGGAGCAAATGGAGAAGTATTTCCTCTTTATGTTTTTTGCTGGAGTCCACCACTTGCAAATTACAATACTGCATGTTATCTGGTTTTGAAATAAGACTGAAGAAGGCAGGCTGCGAAGTGGCAAAGCGTCTAAAATCATGGCACTCACTGCAACTTCACCTTCACAAATTCTATTTGTATATATTCCTGGCTTTCAACCCCTTTTCAGTTTGAGCATGGTCCTTACTGCAGACTGGATACAGTCCACCTGTACAGCTTCTTGCAAAAAGATGAGGACCCACTCTACGTACGCTCCACGTTAGCTGGGTGCAAGTTCCAATCCTAAGGTGCAATGCCTGCATCCAGCTACCTGAAGTGTACACAGGGATGGCATGGATCTGTCAGCAAGAGGAAGATGTACCAGACAGGTTTCCAGGACACACACATTAACATGGTGTGACTGCAGAATACTTTTGCTTTGCAGGTATTCCCTAAGGTAGAGAAAACAAAGTTTGCTTATTTGGAAAAAAAAAAAAAGGTTTGAATGTGATTTGGTCCTTTAAAACTTCAGGTACCTAACTTTTTATTTCTCTGTTTATGGTTGTGGAAACTGTGTTTATCTTTTGGGTTTTCTAAATGATTTGACAAATAGCCTCACTTTTACTAGTAGCAGAGGATTACTCTCTACAAAACTGATCACTGATCACTGATGATCATCTTGCAGTAGACTCTCAATTCCCTTGTTCTGTGCATGTTTTTTCCCGAACAACTGAGATATTTTTATTTCGATTTTTTTACTCTTCACATTTGCCAAAATCTACACGACACTTACCAATTGTGAACCACTTGGCATTACCCCCTACAAGAGAAAAAAAAAACATTATCTAGCTTATCAGACAACAGGGAGATGCATTCAACCTTCTACAAACATACGTACATTTTCTGTGTTTATCTTTGTTACTCCTAGAGACGATGGCTGAGAGCCTTGTAAAGACTGCAGAAAGAGAGATATTTAGGTGTCATTGCTAACATCACAGAACTTTTAACATAAAGTTGGTTTAGAAGCATATAAGAATCTGTGCTGCTTTGAAGGGTGAACTGTTAACATGGACATCTAGGGCTCTGGTAATGAAAAAGATAGCCAAACCTCTACAAACCACAGAAAAGTCCTGAAGTGCAATAGTTGAAACAAAATTGAGATTTCTGAAGACCACCTCATTACATTTTGAATCTTTATTTAACAGTAAGAGCACTATTAAGCCCTCGGCATCAGAAGGTACCCACAGTTTTCCTCACTGGGGTAGAAACGCCAGCATGGCAGGTCCATTCAGGGGGGTCCTTGGGATTCTAAGCAATCCCCTGCATCCCTGTCCCTTCCCATGGGAAAGACAGATGAGCAACGTGGCCATGCAGAGACACAGCTCCTGCTCAGTCCTAGCAGATTGTCTTCAGCTTGTTCATTTCAACACAAGCCTCCACCTTCCTCCTCAGGAAAGAGTCTTAGAAGCAAAGACTAAAATGAAACAATCACCCTTTCTCCATTCTTTTCTTCTGCAAAGGTTACAGCAATCACGGACTAAACCAAGTGTACACTTTTGTGCTTGGGACACCAACCTACAGCACCTGCTTGACCCCAAGCTCTTTTCAGAGTCAGTCCTCCAAGATCAGGATTCACACAGCTCTGCAGGAACACATTTCTGGCAACATGCCCAAGGCCAAGTGATGGGGCCCATGAAAGTCTGTTTATAGGCTTTGCAAATTATCAGTGGGTAAAACCTATGTTTAAAGCATAGACCTCATTATGTTCAGGTCCTTCACCTTTTGCCAACACAATTATTAGTCTGATTAGATTATTAGTCGGAGTTAGACCTGATATTTGGCAGCAAGAGACCCAAGCTTTGCCCACAATGTAGTGAGGATGGAGCAGAAAAGACACAGAATATTATACACAGGAGTAGGTAGGCTGCCTTAGTGAGTGACAGAAAAGGGAAAAGGCATTCACCTTCTGTATCTCCCTGGAATTTATCACCTTCAGTTTCTGTTCTAAAAGACTCATCCTCCCAGAACAGAAGGATCTCTCCTTCTGCACGGGGGAAAACATTGTCCAACTCCTCCCTGTTGGTGTACTTTCTCTAGCAGAGCTGGCAGTTGAGAGGAAGAACAGCACTGTCTTCACTTCAGATTCACTGCACTTTGGTCCAAGTATAACTCAAGCTACAAAGTCTTTTAGAAAGGATATCTCTTCTTATCCCCCACAAATAAGTTTACACTCCTACTTATGGTTTCATTCGACAATTTGGTTGTTTTAGCAGGAAAACCAGGGTTATGTGCACAAGGAGTTCCAGCTGTGGCTGACCCTGGTGTTCAAAGCCAAGCAACAAGTGACAGTCATGGTTAAACTTGTCACTCAGAAGCACTGAATACTCAAGAGTTCCTTCTGGAGCCTCTGCAACACTTGAAAAGTCTAATCCACTCCTAGATTCAGTATCCAATCAATTCTTATACCATCTGTCCTACTAGCTTTGTCACCCTTCTGCCCCTAACTGCAAGACTAAAATGGCAGGACAGAAATCCTCACAAGGCTCACATGTCGAAATCTGGGGAAACTAAAATTTTGTTACTAACATTAGATTGTGTAGCTGCTTTTCTTCACTTCCTTTTTACCATAAATCCTACTATGCAGTTTAGCAAGAGAAAGAAAAGGAATCGAACAAATCGGGTATCTATATAACTTACATTAGAAACAAAATCTATAGTTTTGATCTGCACTTTGCCATATATTCCAAGAGTATCTATTTTTTCAAGGCTAATTCTGTGGTTGTAGAGCAGCAAGTGTTTCTTGTTTACAGTCACCTAAAGAGACAGGAAACAAAATCAGAAAAACTACATTAAACATACATTACACCAGCCATGTATCAAATTGTATGCATGTATCTGTTTTACACTGGTTTGGTACAGAAGCGGGGAGTGTCCTAGAAAACATCAGATCAACTAGTTCAGCTCATCCACAATTCAGTCTGTCTTTCCATCACTATGAAGATTTATTTGCCTACACTAAAATTTGCATTTCACACCTTTGTTTCTAGCACATAATCATTTACCAATGTGGTATTACCAATCTAATAGAATCTACTATTGCAGTCTAACAGAGCAAGATAAATACAGCTCACATGTTCCCTCCAAGAGGACTGTCCCTGCACTAGTCACAGAACAGGTTTATCCCAAGGTTAGCCTTTGGCACATAAGAAGGGAAGGATGGAGTAGTCATTAGCCATGGCAGGAAGTTACTTGCTTACTCATCCAACTTAGATGGAAGCAATACAAAATTAAAAGTCTATTTTAATTAGCACCTCTTTAAAGAAAAACTCTAAACTTTTCTGTATTTAGACTATACCTAGGTAATACAGACACCAAGACTTCCAAAACTTATTTTAATTATACAAAATACCTCTCTTTTATTGGGCTGACAACCGGTTGCAGATGAAGAATCGGCCCAGACTCACCTGAAATTTATCCTTTAAAATCATGATGACAATCTCAAATGACTTCCCTTTCTCAAAGGGCATCTCATAAGTGATCTCCTCCCGGCCCCATTTTTCCCTCTCCAGTGTGTTGCAAACAATGCAGCCAGACCTTTTGAAGCGGGGGTTGAAATGAAACGCCACATCAGCCCGAGGCTTTATGCTGCTGCCACACTGTAAATCCACCTGGAATCTAATCATAAAAATAAGACAAACCACATTCAGCTCAGTCTGTCAAGAAATCATCTAAAAGTTAGGTACATTTGAGTTTTACTGTGGAGCCTCAGAACAGGCAGACAAAATGAACGTTGCTGGATAAGGAAAAAGACCCAAACATATATTTGTCCAACATATTTGTGAAAGGTTCTCCCAAGATTTATTGCAAGGAATTGAAGTATTTAAGTATCTATCTAATGCTTATCACTCATATCATGTAAACCCCTCACTTATAGTGTTCACCACCTTCCCTCCCATCATCTTCAGCACAATATATCAAATGAACTTTGGGTAAAGTCAGGGAACATAACACTCATACTGGGCCCATGCACTACACCATACCTCCTTATCCCAGTTTAAGGTAAACCCTACACACAACACATTCAGTTATCAATTTGGTTAGTCTCAGATAATCCCTTTATAGAAGCAGACATCTGCTATGACTGGGAAAAAAACCTGCGAAAGCAGGCAAGGCAAAAAGAGAGAAGAGAGGATCAGCAAAAAATCAGTATTCCACTTCTCATCCCAAAGCTTTCATTATCCACTGAAGTTTGCATTTATTCCAATGCTATCACAAGGATTTAGATCGAGCCTTTGTGTGCCACATCATAAGTAAGACCCCTGGAAACATTTTTTCCATTCCTTTCTTGTTCACATGGTGACACTGCAAAATGTGACACCACAGCCACTACCTGTCTGCATCATCAGGAACAGTCCCATGTATCACGATCAGCTCTCCAGGAGCAAGGCCACCAAGTATTGTCCCAACATATGGAATGACCTAGAAAAGGGAAGGAAAAAAAATACGAAAAAGAGAAAATATTGCAATAACATTTTGTGATGGAGGCAAAAGAATCCACAAGAGTTTAAAAATTAATATTCTAATACTTAACTATGTGGTGCTCTAGCACGTTAAAAGAAACATAACTGGCTTTTAATTTAAAAGAAAACACAACAGGAAGGAAAAACCTGGCATATTTTCTCCTATGAAATGCAAGCATCCCAGATAAAATTAAAACTAAAATTTCCATCCTCCATTCCTAGCTCTTAAATGAAGAGTGATAATATTTTATTGCCTCACTTTTCGTAGCGGATAAAGAGGATTCATTTAAAATTAGGTCATTCCCAAGGGCTGACTATGATCAGCTCTTTGCTGGTACAAGGAGGCAACTTCCACAACAGTTCTGACCCCAGACACTAGAACAGGTGCATTTTTGCTTGTTCTTGCTCCATTTTGGAAAACAGTGAACGGAAAAGAAGACAGTATGTCACAGAGTGTCTTCTTAGTAAAAACTATACAAACAAACACAACAAAATACCTCACCCTCATGAGCTAAGAACTGCAAAGTGCACTGAAATAGCCCTGCTCAGGAGTCTTGGACTGTATAGTATCTACAGTACACTGTTAAGACATGTAAAGGGACATGTCAGTTAAGATGAAAGCCCCAGACATCCCAGCACAGCTCACTGGCAAGGTTCAGACATGCTGACAGAAGCCCCACTGTGATCATCAGCTGGTGCACTCAGCATTTCAGGAAGGGAAGGGATGCTCCTTGATATTAAACTGTGGAAGTTCCTGGCAGACTGATCTGAAAGCAAAGCTGTAACTCTGCATTCACCACATGTGCTTTAGATTGAAAAAGGAAGTAAATGGTAGCAAATGTTGCATTTGCTTCAGTTAAACAGACAAAAAATTTTGCCAAGGTTGCTTTTGGGGTTTTTTTCCCCACAAAATCCATGATCTATGGAATAGTGTGTAAGATTTTAGGATATCTTTGGAATGAAACATAATTGCAAACGAGTTCCAGTGATTTAACAACAAAAATAATGAATGCGCTGGAAATACTACTCTTGAATGGAATATTGGACCATAAAAGGACAAGCTGAGATTTTATATATATATAGATGGATAGATAGATAGATATATAGATATATAGAGATATATAGATATATATATATATATAAAATCATGTGGAAGAGGAAGATATGAAAAGGATATGTGTTTGCTGACACATATTCTTGTTTATCTGTGAGGAAGAAAGGGGGAATGACAGTAAAAAATTGTCTAAATCCACTGTTGATTATTTCTGCCAGTAGATACACATCCTTTTCTGCCCATTCTCCACTTCCCTCCTCATTCCCACACATTGCATAACACCTAGTTTGGAGTCATCTTCTACATCAGGGAAAAAACCAAACCAAACCAAACCAAAACTTGCTTCTCAAGCGTAAACTCACAAATGATCAGGTTAAGTCTCATCATTTTTAAAGGCTTAAGCAGGTGCAGTAGAGGAGGACCAAAATGTGAAATTAAGTGTTAAATTGAAAGAATAAATAGGCTGAAATCCCTTTGCTTACTGGCATTGGCTTGGTTCCTTAATACACAAGCTGCACACAAGAAGCTCATTTTTATTCAAAAAATAAGAACAATAATAATAAAAAAAGAAAAAAACTTCTCTTGACTGTTTTAGCTTTAGCACACTGCTTCTGAGGGGTAGTAGCTCAGAGTAATGCAGCAGAGTAGTAAGTTACTGGTTCAGTCTACAAAGACAAACCAGAGAAGCACACAGACAAAGGCCAGGGATACTGGGACTTAACTGCTCTAGTGAAGCAAAGTCATTTACTCCTGAAAGAGGAATTGTGGCAAAAACACTTCTTTATTTAAAAGGATGCATTTAATTAGGAGAAAATAAGATGGCCCATCAACTATTCAGAAGCTCAGACATGGAATCTGCAAGACCATAATATAGCATTTTCTGGGTGCAACAGTGCAATTTTAATGAGACTTTGTCATCACAGAATGTGCCTGTAATTTCCTTATGTCCCAAGACACTCTTCTACTAATTTTTCCTCGTTTATTAAGAATAATGCTTACGACATGACATGACCCACCATTATCCCATCTCTCAGACCTCCAAAAATTACCTCAAAAGCCAACTGCTTATGTCAACTGAGTTTGAGAGGTCTTGAAGATGAGGTTCTTTCTAAAATGTGCCAGTTTTCATAAAACAGAGGAAAGGACTGTGATAACACAGCTTTCATCCAGGTTGCTGGGTACTGGACAGCTGCCCTATCAGATTGGACATGTAAACAATTCTTACCAGATGGGTGGGGTAAAGGGGATAGAGAGGAAAGTAGAATTTTCTAGATGCCTGAGAATAGTACAGTGATGAAGAAATACATCTCAGACTCAAACCTGCAATAAAGCTCTTAAGTTTTGCTGCTAATGGAATGATTCACTGAAATAAAGGCATTTTCATGGCCTGTCCTACTACAGAAGGGCTGAGATTGGAAGACACCTCTGGTGTCTCCAGCCCAGTGCCTTCATCAAAGCAAGGTCAGATAGAGCAGGTTGTTCATGGCCTTGTCTGGAGGCTGTCCTGAGGTAATCAGCTCTGCCTCCATATTTCAATCCCAAATACTCATTCTTTTTCTCACCTTAGGCTCTTGACTCCTAAGATCTAGTTTACTCCTTTTATTCTCCAGCTAAGTCTTCTCACCCATCATACTCATCAGTCCCCTCGCAATCACCGAATTTTTTGAAGTCTTACTCTCTCTCTTAGATTGCTCATTTGTCCTGAGCACCTCCTAATCCTCCTCTTCACGCCTCCTCTCCCACCAAAACCTCCATTTACCAATTTTCATGCTCCCTTTCCCTTTGCAGTTCAGTCCTTCCATCTTCTAGGTAGTCCTAGAGCTTTTGTTTCTCTTGCAGCTGTGTTCTTGTGTGGGAGGTTGAACCCATTCCCCCATCATCCCTAACTCTATCCATTTCCTAAATACAGTGAGCATGTAGAGGGAATGAACAATCACTGAGGGCACAAGAGTGTGACAGTGCAAAGCTGTAATAGATAAGGAAGTCCTGTGCAGATCTATGTTACTGTACACTCCACGTAGATACTCTATAGACTTTAATATTTTAAACTGTTCTAGCACAGAATGTTAAAAATACTATTTCCTGCGGATTCAAAGAAACTACCTTTTTAAAGACACAACAAAAAACCACAACTTCAGCTCAGCCCTTAGGATGAGCCAGTGTCAGGCTGCTGTCACAGATCATAAGATTGCTAGAGTTTTTCAGAGACAGTCTCCAGACTCTAAGCTAGGCAAACAACATTCAGTCAAATCTACTCTCTGCGATTGCTGAATTGTGTTAGCTCAAATCTTCCCTACAAAACAGGAATTTTGTAAATTAAGATGTGAACTATGAAAAATTATTCCAAGTTTAATTGTTCAGACTAAAGTTACAGGCACCACAAAATAAACATTTCATTACACAAAATAAACATTTCATGACAGATGCCAGGCACTACCTATATTTACAGAGAATTAGGAGTGAAAACATTGCTTATCATATTTTCACTCTCCAGCACACTCTGCAAAAACTGTCAGACACCTACATAAGCTGTGCATGAAAAAGGACTACCTTCCAAGGCTGAATGTCTGTCCTGTTTTGGAAGTCCGGTGCATTAAGTGTCCATTTGTTTACAGCACAATTTGTAAACACCACCAGCTAGTGTCACCTGTGACATTCTCCCTAAAATACCCGAGCGGTGCAGAGTTCTCAGTAACACTCTTCACTACGCAAAACAGCACAACACAAAACAGTAAAGTCTCATTTCCCAAGGGAGACACTGTTGACATGACAGAGGAGTTACCGGGTTACTGATTGTCTTCTCTGGTGTATCCAAGGTCAGGTTTCTCATTGTCTTCTGTGCTACATCCAAGGAAGTCATCTTCCCTCCTCCAGTTTAAGTTTGTCGGTTTTGTGTGACCACTGTTGGAGCGTATTTCAAGGACTTACTGGTCAGGCAGCATCAAAGGAGAGATCCCTTAGAAAATAACCCAAAACTTTTAATTAGAAAGAAACAAAGTGACAAAACATGAAGTGAAATCCTCCAAGGTATAACTTTAAATAGCACAAGAAATGATGCAAACATCTATCCAGCAAATTTGCTGGAGTTCTGAAATACAAAAATAAGAGGCTTAAAGAAAGAAGGTGCCACTCTAATGAGGGACAGTGCACACCAGTATACACCGTCATCAGCAGCTTCCTAAGATTCAGTATATGGAGACAGAATCACATGTAAAAATCATCCTTATTTACTGACAACTCAGTGCTCCTCAACAGGGCCCCAATAGCTCTCCATTTGCAGCTGACCCCTGCCTGCAGACGGGGAAAAGATACAAAGGACGAAAGCAGTTTCTCCAAGACAAACAAACATATATGTTTCTTTTACTCTTTCTGTACTAACCCCTGATTTCCCAGAGCAGACAAGTCTTAGGGGGTGACCTTGTCTTTTCCATCTTTATTTTACATAAAGTTAAGAGATTCTAGGCAAAGACACAGCAGGGAAGCAAAGGGTGTTTTATATTTCTTCTTCCAACACACACAATCCCTGAACTCCACAATTAATTACAGGAGTTTGTAAAACTTGAATTAAATGCACAACATTAATAAGAAATAAAACAACAGCTTGTGAGTATATTCAGCTACACTGCAACTTCTTTAGCAAATCTTCTAACAAAGTGACCAAAATTCAGGGCCCAACTGAGACTCTTCAGTAATTATTACTTGCATATTCTGGAGAAACAACTTAAGGTAGCATGCAAACTATGTGGTGATGACAGGCAGACAGGGAAAAAGTCAAAGGTGAGGGCTCTAGCATCCTTACTGTTTGAAAAGCAACATTAGAAAGAAAAATTAAAAAAAAACACAAGCAAACAAAAAACCCCAAGGTCTGTGACCTGTTCCACAGGACACAGGGGTTAATCTCCGCAATGATTAAACAATAGAGTGTCTCCATTTTGCAGTATCTGACTTACCTTGTTAGAGATTTGGGCCAGAAGGGTTTTAATTCACCTGCTTAAGACCAGCGTATAGAATACAATTCAGAGAACATAAGGTGCCAACACTGCATAACATTCTGCCTTTTGATCTTCCCATGGGATACTACCATCAATTCACTTTTGCCTGTGCAGGCAAATTTCATTGTTTTCATTTTTAAAAGGAGCAAATCAAGACCAAAGCAAACAATAATTTTGCCTTTACCGTTGTGAAGTCCAATAGCAGACCACACAAAAATGAAACCTACAACCCAACAAGCTGTTATCTGAACTTCCCTGGGTGTGCAACAGCAATCTAGATCCTGCTGGGAGAGGATCCTGGCACAGAACTAGCTTATCAGTCCTAACAGACCTGGCAGCACTATGACAAAGTGATGAGGGGCTTTTTTGTTTGTTTATTAGTATTTTATTGACAAGGTCACAGTAATCAGGGAAAGCTGCAATTAAGGCTCTGTTTGTCAAAACCAGGAGACGGGCATGCACTTGCAAGGCTCTCCTGTACCCTCCTATACTGTCAGAGGAACTGCTGTCAGTACATGTAACACCATATCTGCAACGCTGCAAGTTGAGGTTCCCTGAACGGACTTTCAAAACTGGAAAAGATACATATGCTTTCCTTTTCTCACACACTGCAAAATCTCTTCCAACAGAAAAACAGGAAACCATAGAGGCCAATAACCAGCTATTATGCTGTCCCACTGTGACACGCAGAAAATGTCCTTCATGAAGGTAACTCCAGTCAGCCCTTGTAATCAAAACTGGATTTTACACCAGTGTCAATAAGGCTTCTTCAAAGAGAATAACCGAGATACTTTATGGATACTTGCAGGCAATCGAAGTACAAAACACCGTCGGTGTCCCCACCCCAGCTACAAACCCAACACTCCAGCACACTGGAAGGACGCAGGACCAGTTTCACCAGGCAACCTCGGCCACTTCAACCTCTCGGCGACCCGAGGCAGTCCCGGCACCCCCCAGAGCCCGCCGAGAGCAGCCCCTCTCCCCGACCCACACACGCGCGGGAAGGGGGGACGTTACTGCTCTCTCCGTTTCCTCTCTTACCTGCACGACGCCCCTCCGCGACTACCAGTGCCGGCACACCCGCGGGGTGACACCGCCCCGCGCCGCCATCACAGACCCCCCGCTCCGCCCCCGCGCCGCCGCTTCCGGCCGCCGCCACGTCACCGCGGGGCCGCCCCTCGGGAACTCGCCCGCCTCCTGTGGAACGGGCCCGCCTGCCGCCCGGTCCCGGCCGAGGGCAGACGGACTTTTCCTGGAAGTGCAGTGCCTGCCTGGCACTGAGGGTGTGTTGGAAGTGACTGGGAGGGCCCGAGAGCCACACGCCCTGCGGGGCTGGATTTACACCTTGTGAAGTTAATTCAGCTCCTTCCCCTGCAAACCCTTTGCTTCCTCTATGTGTTTCCTGGCAAGACACATCTCACACAGAATCACAGAATTGTTAGGGTTGGAAGGGACCTCTGGAGATCATCCAGTCCAACCCACCTGCCCAGGCAGGATCACCTGGAGCAGGTTACACAGGAACACATCCAGGTGGGGTTTGAATGTGTCTAGAGAGGGAGACTCTACGACCTCCCTGGGCAGCCTGTTCAGTGCTCTGCCACTCTCAGTGTAAAGAAGTTTTTCTTCGTACTGAGGTGGAACTTCTTGTCGTTTAGTTTATGGCCATTCTGTTGCTGGACACCACTAAAAAGAGTCAGGCACCACTCTCTTGGCACACAGCTTTGAGATATTTATATGTGAGATCCCCTCTCAGGCTTCTCTTCTGTAGACTAAACAGGCCCAGCTCCTGCAGTTTCTCCTCATGAGAGAGATGCTCCAGCCCTTAATCATCTTTGTGGCCCTCCACTGGGCCCTCTTCAGCAGCTCCTCATCTTTCTTGTGCTGAGGAGCCCAGAACTGGACACAGTACTCCGGATGGGGCCTCACTACGGCCAAGTAGAAGGGAAGGATCACCTCCCTCAACCTACTGACCACACTATTGTGGGTCATTGATGCACCCCAGGGTACCTTTGGCCCTCCTGGTCATGAGGGCATACTGCTGGTTCATGGTCATCTTGTCCACCACCAATACTCCCAGGTCCTTCTCAGCAGAGCTGCTCTCTAGTAGGTCAGCCCCCAACCTGAACTGCTACTTGGAGTTTTTCCTCCCCAGATGCAGGACCCTACACTTGCCCTTATAGAACCTCATTACATTTCTCTCTGCCCAACTCTCCAGCCTCTCCAGTGACCCGTGATGACTGTGATCATCTCTTGTGACCAGATCCAAATGCAGTTTCAAAGCTCATACTGGGTCATTTGCTGCCCCAGGACCTTTGTGTTTCTGAAACCTGGAAATCTTACACACACACTCGATCTTATACCCACTGCCCCAAGGCTGTGCTTACATCCTCCTCTTCCCTCACAGGCGTCACTACGAGCAGTTTTGGTCTAGTAAGCAGAAAGGTCAGTGAAGCCCCATATAGTTTTACAGCTCATGATGTGTAGCAACAAGCTGCTCAGAGAAGCACAACTTAAAGTTCTCCCTCTTCACATGCTGGATGGAAGAAAGATGAGCACAAAAATAAAGGTTGCAATACAAAAGGCCCACAAAATTAAATTACCTTATCTTATTCAATTACAGGCATTCGGTATTTCTTTGCCTTGCAAAAATGTGGCTCTAGCAAAGTTAGAATACTATTCAGCACTGTTGTCTCAAAGACCATTACCATATCTTATCTAGATAATATCCAGTCTTCTATTCTACAATTAACCAGCACAAAACCCCTCCATCCCAAACCATATCTACTTGCTAGAATTCTGCTGATAGTTGTAGGATTGCTGCTTTAAAGCTCAGTTATATCAGATTTGAAGGATTCGTTCACAGAAGGGTGTGATAACACGTCTTTTGAGAAGAACTGCAGAAATGAGCTATTCAGATTAAAAAGTAGCAAAGCAGATTGCTTGGGAAAAGAGAGCTTAGAATCATGCATGGCTTTGAGAGAGGACTGAGAACCAGTCAGGTGCTAACAAAAAGCTCACTATTCAACTGTTCTACATAATTCCCAGGCACTATTTAAAAAGAGAATAAATAAAAGGTCCTAGAGCCTGAACTATCACTTAGTTTCTCTTTGAAGCTATTTTTTCCAGGTATTCCAGTTTAAAGAGTAGAAAGCTTCGATAAAACCAGACAGACAGAAGTACATGAAATACATTCAATTCTCAGTATTAGAAAGTAACCTCAAAGCAGGTTTGAAAGTTCAGGTCAAACAATAGGGACAGAAAAGATGCTGAAAGGCTGGAATAAAAAGATACGATAATTAAAGGAGGAGCAATAAGTGGAAGTGTTTCTAGAACCATAGAAAATAAAGTTTTACTGCTTTACTACTTCTTACTCAGGGCTCTTCTACATTTGGGAAGAAACAATCCAAAGGAAATACAGAGATTTAAACTATGCACCAGTTCTTTACTGAAGCAGAACATCTGTTTGATTAACATGCTGATTTTTAGGCTGAGTCATAGGCAGCTTATGAAATTTGCAGGAAAATCCCTATTTCAGCTCCCAAACCTGATGCACCATTGGCAATGAGTCAGTTGGATTACAGCTTCAGCAGCCTTGTGCTACACTCGTGTTGCTTCGTTCACAGACTGCCATTTTCCTGCTGATTTCTTGCAACAAATAACAAAGTCTTTCCTTATTTCCACTGCCCAAGTCCAAATTCGGGTTTTAGCTTTTAAAGTTACAATTTGACATTACTGGGGCTGTGTATTATCCTGTCAGCATAGTCTGACTTCGCATGTTCCAGCAGAATTTTGCTTGCTGGAGAAACAGAAATGCTCTGTCAGGAGCAATGCAGACAATTTCAGTTGAAGCAAATTTAGCAGCTGTTCTTGGCCAAAAGGTAGCATTTGAAGGAGGACACTGTTACCCTTCAGAAATTTTACCTGCCTTTCCTGCCCCAACTACAAGTACTGGCAGAGGAATATAATCACAAAACACTGGCATATCTTGCATATTCCCTTTTGGATGCCAAGAACTGTTTTGATTCATCTCACTGAAAACTGAAATGTGATCTTTTACAGATTCAGCTTTTCATTCTGTTTTCCCTTTCCATTTTGGAGAAAAGATAGATAGACTTATCACTTGAGCATCAGTATCAGACCACAATCCACTAATTAGAACAGACTGAAGGTGTCTAGCACAATTTTACACAGAGCTGCTGGATCTATGTTACTGAGTCTAATAGTGACAATGAATTTAGTTTAGATAAATATAGTGCTCACTGAATCTGTGAGCACAAATCTGTGTTTGCTCCAGCAAACTGGATTTGATACAGTTTGTTATATCACCTGTATAATTGTACCATGCTTCAGCATAAGCTTCTAACAGCAACATAGGCCATGCTTAATAACATGCTTACTCAGAAAGCTGGGGAAATTAAACTAAGCTGATGCCTGGGCTCTTTTTTTAACTACTTTTCACATAGTCAGCTGGCTTAACAAACATCACTTTGTTGGACAGAAAAGAGTACAATCACAGACCCTTTTGAGCCCTCCTGTAATTTCTTGGTAAAGGAGCTGCTACATTTGCTCCTTTCTTCCTGCCATGAACACCTCATCTTACATCTGCACTTCTCCAAAGCAGAGGCTGGTGCCTTCCCTGCTGGGCAGCCGGGCTGCATCCAACCTGCACCAGACTCAGCAGCATTACAAGCTGCCCTGTCCTTGTGAGTCACTCCCCTCAGCAGTGCTCTTGGCTCTGCTAGCTGCCTTAGCTATTTGCTGCCAATCAGCTACCTGCTCCTGCTCTCCAGTCCCTCTTACTTTTCAGCACAGTGTCATAAAGTACATCATTACATGCTATCCTACTTCCTCAAAGGAGACTTCTCAAGCAGACCTCCTGTCCTTGCTGCCAAGCCTGTATCTCTCAGGGCAGCAAGCCATTGTCCAAAGTCAGGGTAACAGCATATGTAGTCGCACTTACTTGGCCCAATATTTTATGCACAGTTCCAACTACAAAATTTCCACCAGTAATGGAATTCCCTAGACTTGACACAAGATGCATACAGTACCATTACAGCTTCCTACGTTCAGCTGTTGAGGTTAGTACAAGACATCTGTGGTCCAGTAGAGATGAAACTGGCTGTACCACATCAAGTCAAAAGGTCACAAACTCAGACCATTACAGAGAGTGGCCATCATGAGCTGCCTGGAGGAGCAGAGAGAAAGCCAAAGGAAGCACACAGCACACACACAGCTTCTGACCATCAGCCATTTAGGACTTTCTGATCCAGAGGTTACAATTGCACCATCTTACTGAATAAGCAGACCATGAATTTGCCCAATTCATTTTTAAGTCAAGGACACCACTTTTGGGCCTCCACAACACTCTCCACAGCAGCATATAATATGTTTTAATGACTCATTGTCTGAATAGCCTGCAAGATAAATACTGTCCTGAACCAGAACTGTACAAATATCACTTACATGGTAATCTGCCACTATGACTATTCAATACTAATAACTTCAATGGCTCTCTACAGGTCCATCAAGAGTTCTTAACAGGCTAGTAACAGATCTAAAATATGCATTATGACAAGTTTGTTTATCCTTGGCCCAAAGCTGATGGATACACACATTATCTAGCTTTGCAGTGGGGCAACCAAAGTAGGCTACTAGTCTCCATTAAAGGAACCTCCCCACCAAAAGTTACTCTCAGCTAATTTCTTTTATATTGTTGTGTGGTACCAGAATAACTGTAATTTCTTCCCCTAGTTAATACAGTACTACAGGCCACAGGGATAAAGCATCCAACACAATGTACTGTTCAGCAGAAACTTTATGAGTAAGGATTTCATATGATCTCAAAAGACTGACACTGTTGTGTCTTTCACCGTTTTAGTGGAGCTGTTTGTACGTTACAGCATTTTCTGAAGGAAATTATTCCCCTAGCTTCTTTGAAAGGCTTTAGATTCCAACAGGACATGAGTCACCACTTCTTGGTACACCAACATTAAAATTTCAGTTGACAGTCCCGCTGGCTCAGCTTTTATTTAGCTATAAGTTAATTGGTGGCCTTCTATAACTATTCCTTGATAAGTCAATACTTAGCTCCAATGTTCATTCAGAGCTTCCAGTTTTCAGTTTAAAGCTTACAAATCACGGGGAACAAAATAAAAAGTTGTGGGTTTTTTAATGGTCTTACACATTCAAAAGCTTAAAATGCTACTGCCACTTCAGAAACTAATAAGTAATCTATTTTTTTGTTGCAATGCCTACTTTTTAAGGCAAAATGTTGAAGAGAATTATAAGAGCAAACAAGATATAGAAGAGATACAAGGGCCAAAGGACAAACAAGTTACAGAGAAGTAAACAGTCCTTTTTAAAACCCATTCTAAGCCATATAACCCTTAAAACATATTCACCCCTTCTTTTTTAAATCAGTCACACAACACTCTAGGATTTTTCAAGTAGTCAGGATCACTTCTTCATTTGCATTGCAATAGATACTAGAGCAAAGCTGTCCCTGTCTGCATCCCAACCCCCTACACCCCCCCAGGTGGTTGTGCCACGATCTGCACATAGCCCTTCTGTCCCTACCTACCTAGGGAGATAAGAAAGAAGCAACGTCATGTATTTGTGCAAAAGGGAAAACTGTCTGATGAGACTGTGACCAAACGCAAGATCCCTAGGACTTGACCTTCACACCTTCATCATCAGCATTGCAGTTGCCCTTAGATCTCCCTGGTGGGTCTCTGCAGTTACAGATGAGCTCACCTGCAGTTAACACTCCTGCATTTTCAAAGAAAAAGTGAGAAGGCTGTAGTATCACTTCTCACCACAAGATGGTAGGTGTTTTCTGATCGTTAGAGAAGAACAGGCTAATAGACCTTTGAGTTGGTGAACTCCTCCGCTTCAGAGAAAGCAGAGGCAAAAGTAAATTAGGACCAAAAAAATGTGTTTATTGTGAATGAACTGAAGTAGGGGAAGCTGACATATATTGGGTGCAAAGACAAAAATAAATCCTCAGCTTAGATTCAAGATATTATTACTACTGTAAAGATTTGGGTGCCCCTTTCTCATCCTGGCTCTTTCTGTTAAGGAATTTTATAGTTGGGTAAATGTCTTTTACCAACAACATCAAACTCTGGTTATTTTTGAAGACAAAAAACCGTTCCCAAACTAAACACTGGGTAATTTTGAAGCAAACTCATAATGAAAAAAAAAAAGCCCATTAATGTGGCTATGTAAAATTGTGTATCTATCTCATGCTGTACACAGATACACAGAAACACATTTATTATCCAAGTTACTAAAACATTTAGCCTTGTTTCTGGAATTCCTCAATAAAAGTTGAAAGAGATAATTAACTAAGATTTTCAGTCAAGGGACCTATTTCTGTATATACATCAGAAGAAAGAGTAAATTAACACCATAGACGTTATTTCTCACCAATCATTTATAATAGAAGCTACTTCTTTCTCATCTCTTCTACAATTTCAATCCTCATCTTCATAGCACTGTGAAGGCCAGTAAACAAAGCCTGAAAAAAATTCAACACAGCAATACTTTCATGTTGAAGTTCCAAAAGGCTAAAGCCAACCTTGCTGATTCCATCCTAACAAGACTTGCACAGCTCTCTCTGACATTTAAGAATCTCACATGACTCTCATTATCACAATAACAAATACATATTTATCCAAAAGACTTGCCTTTGAAATCAAGAATCACCATTTTACAAACATAAAATGCAGAGATCAAACAAGCTAGTAAGTCTGTCCAGTAGTTTAACTGCCCCTCTGCCCCTAACAAAAAGTACAGCAAGCCTTTCCCAAAGCTGCAAACTTCTCTTTGTGATCAGTTTCTTTTAAGATGGAATCAGTCCCAGTCCTTGACAAAAATAGAGGCAACCAAATACTACAGACTCCACCTTTCCAAATAAGTTCTTCTTAGTGCTGCTTATATTCAGCCTGTCTGACCAGTAGATCCATACATTCCCTATCTACTTAAGGCCAACTGACTATAGCCATGCAATCAAGACTAGCTGAACTCGGGGGCTAGACAAAGCACTTTGCGGTCAAAACAGGCAACAAGCCCAAGTCCTCATTTAATGGTGCTCTGCCCTTCTGTCCAAAACTGACCCAAAACTTAAAGTTTACAAAATATACTGAACTTAGTTATGAATAACGAATTGCTTTGCCTTCATGGACAGAAGAACATGATATGCTGCAAAAATTACACAAGCAGGCTGCTCTGTAAGTTATTATAAATGCCATGCACTTTCTTTGACCTTGTTTAAACAATTCTGCTGTCTGACAAATAATTTCCAACCATGGCTGGCCATAAGTCAGCCTAACTTAAACAACCATATATCAGAATTTATATTTTTTTTCTCTTGCTAACAGCTTCACTTGGAACTGTGGGAGGCAGTTTGAGACAGTGAAAAACATGCAGTCTCTTGCACAAAGGGCTGCCCAGGCAGAGCTGCAGATCTCCATCATTCAGTAGTGGTTTGGGAAGAAGTCTGGTTTACAGTTGCTGTACAACTTATTTTGAAGCAAGCATCTTGGGCCATGCTGACTACCCTATCCTTTACAGTAGGCTTCCAAAGGACAGTCCCAAATCCACCCTGCATTCCTCCTCACAGATCAAAAGGAAGTGCATGCAGTGAGTGAGGCAACTGAACACTGTCACTGTCTTGCTGGGAATGCCCCACAGCAAAACTCGGTGCTCCTGGAGCACAGCACTGGAAGTTTGCCCTGGAAGAACAGTTATTAAGCTCATTAGGTCTTAGACAAAGCTGCAGGAATGAGAAAATACAGGGGCTTGGGCAGTTTCATAGAAGCTAAAGTGGGTGGGAGAGGCCATTGGTAATCCTGCAGGCACAGAGATAGCAGCCAAAAAACTGGAAATCCCTGAAGGGAGAGCAGGTCTCATATGGGAATAGGAGAAAGATATAAAAGAATAAAACTGATAGCCTATTAGAGCCTTTTTAGTGTCCATTACTGGTTATTAATTTAGGGAAAGTTCATCCACTATAGGTTTCATACCTCTCTATAGTTAGTAACTCCACTGCAAGTGTCTAGATAAACCTCTCTTTTTATCATCTTACCAAAATTAACTTATTTTTCCTATGGAATAGATTAAAAAATGCATCTTCCTTTCTTGAACAGCAGTACCTGTTGCAAACATAAGTGCTTTAAGGAGTCATGAATTTCATATATAAGACATTTTTTACACCCCACAACTAGTTGATACTTCAGTGGTTCCAAGGTGACTGGTGAGAAAGAAAACAGCTGTGTTCCTAGCTGTAATAAAAACAAAAACAATAAAGTAAAACATTGACAATCTATATTTCTTTAAAAATAGTATACATTATAACAGAAGATATAAGAATAAACTGAACACTCAGACCCAATATCTTGTAAAAAGATATAAAACTAAGAAAAAAAAGAAGTGTGTACATCTCCATTTACGACATACAAAGAGGAAGAAAAGTATTTCAAGTATACTAACAAATCCAGTGTGTGGTGCAGTTTAAGGCTAATATTTTCAACCTTCAGAGCTGAATTTATGCAGAATCCACATATGTACTCTCAGAAGCAGCTTTATTTCCATTAGACATGAATCCTTGCAGCTGACATTGAGTTTTCAAGAGCTTTGAGGGATCAGAACTCATCTCCAGAAGACATCAGCGTTTCTTAAAAATTTTACAAGTTTTAGCCAGGAAATGGGAAGAGGGGTAGATTTCAGTTGAACACATGGATTCAGGAATGCTGCTGCATCATTTTGTATTCCCATTCTAAGTCTTAGGTGAGGGTTCCAGCTTCTTGCTGGACTGGATCTACCAAAGCAAAGCATATTATAATACCATTCACATATAGCTGTGGTAAGTTATGGGAGGGAAGAGCCTTTGGCATACATGCCAGCACTCATCACTCAGAGGAAAAACTTAACACACAGACATACAATCCTAAATCATGCATGCAGTTGGCCCAGGGTATGGGGATTTTGTTGGACAAGCTGCATTATGAGCTGTTTGCATGTAGGCAGTGGATACCTCTGTAGGAACTGAAAATAGCAAAGAGCCCAGCCACAACAATAGTCCTCAAAGCTGAATCTGGAGCATTAACTTAGGACAGAAGATTATTTGCAAAAGTTAGAGTTGACAGACATCTATCAGGAAACCCCAGTACCTGGAAGAGGAATGCAAAACATTTGAACTGCAGCCCCAACAAGATACAGCAGTACGACTTCCTCCTTAAAATACAGATAGAAAACTAAAGAGTTCTAAACAGTTGCAGCTTTTTTGAGGAATCATTAAAAAAAAGTTATTAAAAATTCCAGTTTTTTCTAAAAAAATAAAAAATTCAAACCTCAAATTTAGGTCACTCTTTTCACCTTGAAACAAAATTTTCAGCTTCTGGAAGTCTCTAAAATAAACTTAATTTATGCCACCCCAGAACTAGTGCCTGACACTGAAAATGTTCATCTTTACTTCCAGCCCCTCTGTAACCGTATCACTCAGCATCTATAGTAAAGTATTACTAGAGGTTCTTTTTCATTCTCTTACAATAAGAAAGTCAGTATACAGCATTAGACTTCCCTCAGCTTTGCTACTAATTCTTATTATTTCTACTAGAGAAAAGTAAACAGCGTATCAACCTGCAACCCATTCTAGTTTTACCCCATGTCTTGACATACTATTCACCAGTGCTTTGGTATATACACCTATGTACATACTAGTATTGTCTGAGATGTCAGAAGAATGGTAGGAAAAAGACCAATTTCTAAAATACTTAAATTGTAAACAGTGTAATTCAGAGTATCAAAATCCTTTGAAAAACATCAGTCTAAACCACTTGTAAGTGCTTTAATAACCATCCACCTGGACTGTAGGTGAATTCACCTGGTAATTTTCCATTAGAGTGGCTCTAATCAATACACAGTGCTAGTTTCACACAGGTGTGCAACTACCTTGGTGTGGGGCAGAAAGTAGGTCAACCCACAGGACTGTGAAGAAAACCACAGTCTGTGAAAAGGGAAGTTATAGTCAATACTAACGATGCCCTGTGAGTGATAAAGCTTACACAGCCTCTCACACTGGAAAGTGAGAGGCATTTGATACCTGCACTCAGAGTATACACTGTCTTCAAAACTTTGGAAAATAATTTTAAGTATAGAGCATTTTAATTAGTTTTTTTTTTACCCCTAGAGATTATGGGTTGGAAAGTCTCTCTGAATTGCATGATTTCTTCATAGGGCAAATATATTCTTGTTTATAAAAGAGACTTAAAGCTTAACTTGCTCAAATGTGATGTTGAAACATTGAATTAATTGTAACATGCAAATCCAAATTGCTGCTTGGAACGCTGAGGCGTTCCTGTGCCAAAAACAGCATCACAAAGCTTAAAAAAAAACCAAAAAATGAAAAAAAATACACCTCATCTTCTACTAGGTAGAAGAGACAAAACTGTGGAAGGGTTGCCAGAAAGGCCAAGAGACTTGCCTTCTAATTGTGGCTTTCCCAATAGCAACAGAACACAGCTGACATGGTTCACAACCGCTGCAGTAAAACCAGCAGTCTGGCTTTTCCATTCCTCTTCTGCTTAGGAAGCCTACCAACAGCAGCAAAGAAGCTGAAGGAATTTGTAGGCTCAAGAACACAACCTGGATGATTCCACCCCCTTTTGGAAGATTATCTTTGCAACCCTGAGGGTACAGAGCATACATATGTGTATACAGTAGATAAGGCTTACACAGTATACAAACTGTCAGTACAGGCTTTCTCTCTCTTCCAATGTATTAGTGGCAGCTAGTCCCAGCATTTAACACGTACAGACTAACAACTTTCTTTGACCTAGAAGTCATTCTGGTAAGCTCTGTTCCCTCTCTTGGGCCATTCCTCCTCCACCCATTTCAGCAGCACTTTCACAACATCAATTCTCTTATAAAATTTACAGAGATCAATCAGCTGTTCCACAGTCCGGTCACTATTCCGTAGCAAGAACTCCAAGGTGGGACTCTGGGGCTTTTGTTCAAGGAAACACAATTCATCATAAGTCATCCCCCATTTGCTTGCTAAATTTCTCCAGTTTTTCACTGTTGGGTGGCAGGGATCCAGCTTTAGCCTCACTGTGTACAACAAGTCCTCATCATTGAGCATGTCACTGATGGTTGGTGCACGGAATAAGCACAAGGAGCAGGTGACATTTTCCTTGCAGGTTTTCTTGAGATCTGCAGTGAAAACCATTACATGGGGAGAAGTTAAGATCTATTGCTGTGGTTTCACCGGGAACTAAAAGTTAAAAGCATAAATGGTTGAAGAGTATCATGTTCCTGTGAATCACTTCTGAAGAAGTCAGAACAATGACATGCAATGCCTTTCCTTATGAAGAACTCATGACATTAACTTTCTAAAACTTCTCTCTTCGCTATGCTGAGTGGCTTTAATCAAAAGGACAGTAATTTTGAAAGCACCATATTTATACTTTTATAGAAAAGACATGGGATTCAATGCAGTGTGTGGGCTAGGATATTCCACTTTTGTGTTTTTGGAACTATGTTGCTTCCTCGAATTTGCCATAATTCCTGCCTACATCACCAACAGGTTTATGCATGCATTTCGTGCATCTTGCATACGTGTTGTAGGATAAAGGAAAAGGTTTTGCATTTCTGATCTGCTGCCTTCATAGCAACATGAAATACGTGCCCCACAAGAATCTCTGCTGACAGTTCCAAACACCTAGTACTTTAGCACAATGAAAAAGTGCTAAACATTCCTTTGCTTTGTAAGGGCTCCTACAATAAAAGCTGTCCCTATTCTACCAAGGAAGCCCATTTGAAATGTGCATTATGGAAAGGAATAAAGTGCATACTCTTCAATGTGTGAGAAAAATAAAAATATCAAGTTGCTGGAAGGAGGTGGTGATATGTTCTAAAATCTGCATCAAATACCAAAAATCATCATTTAGAGGTCTCCTACGCACAACATTCAGTATCTCTGCAGCACTGTGAACAATGTGGTGTTGTCAGACTAAATATATATATTTATAGCCCATAAAAGCATGTGGAAACCAGTGCTAGTCATACTTCTAGTTAAACACTAATACCAAAGCCTTTAACACTGCAGTGATGTAGGACATGGAATCAGCATTTTGGCCGCAGATATGACATTAACTCTCCCTGCTCCTTTTTGAAAGCAGGGAGAATTTGATCTCTCCAAATGGACACATTCTTGAAGCATTTTCTAAAGCTTCTGTACTCCCGCCTCACTGTACAGCTTTAAAAAGGGAAGTAACTAGTCCTACTTGGGATGAAACTTTTTCAAAAAGGGGCTGCTATTAATCAAAACATTGATTAAGAACAACAGAAAACAGTGACACACAATTTACAAGTGCTGGATCAGAAGCCTGAGCCGTATCTCTGGCAAAGGACAAATCTGGTACTTAGTGTCATCTACTCATACAGACAACAGCATCTGTTAAGGTGGTTTGTTTGTGGGGTTTTGTGGCTTTTTTTTTTAAATTATTATTAATTTATTTGCAGTAATTTTTGTCAGATGGTGTGAAAAGTCCAGAAAGACCATCAAATAGTGAGCTGAATGCAGTGTCTGCATGCACTTTGTATTTTGTTTTTAAGGAAAGAACAGGCTATTGTTATTTTTGTAAAACTGCTCATCAGGTTGCTTTTTTAGCAGGCCAAAGACAACTTCTGAAGTTTTCAACAAGTTAGGACACGCAGCAACAACAGTGCTGCAGACACATAACTTCATACAAATGCTCAGATTCCCTGTTAAGGGTAAACATGTTCTGGTGACATGTTTGCTCACAGGTATTCCACAGGCCTTACAGCTGTTCTCTAGAGAAATATGTATGTTAACTCTTCTGTTCTTCTTGTGCACCCTAAGCTCTTGCTGAAGTGAGACAAAATTTTCTTGCCTCATTCATAACAACATTTACTTATGCAAACAAGGCAAAATGAGTATAATCCAATAAAAGTTCTAGCTGAGCAAAAAGGGCAGGAGAGCACCCTATCTGAATTTCATCTTATTTACTCTGGCAGGGATTCCAGACTAAGTTTTATCCTCCAATAAAAGCAGGGAAGAAGAGGTAAAGAAAACACCCCTGTAAAAGGGCACAGTTATAAGTAAACAAAACTAAACCAACCCACTTCTTGTGCTATACCATCTGCAAGACTATCAAAAGCATCATAAAGAATCCAGTGTTAGACACTGACAAGCAAACGACTGACCTACCCAACTAATTGCATGATCCTGATGCTACATGATAGGACAAGCTTCTTTTACTAATAGAAAACTCTCAGTTTCTCACTGTTAGACTGAGAGAACTGTATGTCATACACATACACACCCCTCCCACAGCAGAGCTCATACAGTTATGGGATAAGCCCCCACAGCCTACTGCCAGCTCTTGCTCTCTCCCAACAGCTATTTACAGATCACTTCTAAAAGTATATGTACTACATACATTTGAAAAGCCCAAGTTACACATTTTGTATGGTCTGCATTATTGATCACCAACCTCTCAGAACAAAGGGGAAGCTGTAAATGACACAGGTCATGAAATGAGGTCCACTAATACTAGTTACTCAGGCAGTTCTTGGTTATGACAAATAGCAGTTTTTAATGAAGTACTTTCAAAGGAAATCTATGAATAAAATATGTAGAACAAGAAAGCTGACACGTTACCTGAAAGTGATTCGTCAGTATGCTTTTGCGTGTCTTTGTCTTCTGGCTACAAAGCAGAAAACAAATATAAATCAAAATAAAACAATGTACTTGATACCAGAATAGCTATTTGGCTAATTTGCAACTGGCAAGAGATTACTTACAAGTAGCTTGGGATTCTTTTAAAGTCAGACAGGGAATATATAATGTTTTGAGGAATTCCTGACAATCCTGTCTTCTCAGACAGGATTTCCATGCTTTGGCTCACAGAACTACCCTGTTGGTTGTATTCACTGAACAATGTCATCTTAATTAATGATATGCTATAGCATTATATCTTTTGAATAATTTGTTCTTAATCCTCAACAGCTGTTGAACAATTTATATGGTTTGACTAAATATTTTTAAATGTTTTGTAATGAGAAAAAACCAAGGATTTTGCCTGTTGAATGCAGTAGTGAGGGATTGTTTCACTGATCCAGGAAAAGTGGGGGAGCTTTTTTTACAAACTTCTTTACATGCATAGGAAGCTTTTTTAGGCAACATGTTGATTTGAACATTTCTGCTGGCTCAGATCTAACCCTCCTCCTGTTAGAAGTAAACATTCCCCCAGTGGTTTTTTGCTTGCTAATTAAACATAATGAAATTTCTTAGCAACTTAAGACTGTAACACACGTTGCAATATTAAAATTCAACTACTTAGCAACAACTAAAAACTGGAAGACAGCCCTTGATCCTAGAACTGTGGGAAACTGCAACTCCCCTTATTTTAACTATGTGGGTGTGGAGCCAGGTGAAATAGCTTTCCTCTGTTCAGGATTTAAAGATGAAAGCAGAAGGGGATTTTCCCCTTAGATAGCTGCAGTAAAGAATAGTTGATTTTTTTGTATTGCATCATTCTTCCAAAACTATCACAGCAGGCTTCTTAACATTTTGCAAGTTGTGCATGCAAACACAAGTCATTATATGGGTAAAAATACAGTGTAATAAGATACTCTATTACTACCTGCTACACCCTCTTTACTAAGAAATCCATTAAAAATAGAATATAGGCACTTCCATTTGTTTTGGTGAACTTGCATATGTTCACAAAGGAAAAATTTGCATACTATTTTCAGCATTTCTTTATTCCTTGAAAACGGCAAGATCACACATGCAACATCAAAATGTCTGCTCTCTGCTGAAGAGAGATCTAACACTGCACTTGCCAATTGCAACAGGATGAGCGTTGCCATTATCTTCTACTAGTTTACTTTTCCACTGGCTCCATGACAGCTTTACCTGGACAATGCTTTTTAACTTAAAGTTGGCCTTCATGGCAACACAGGAGCACTCCATGTTTAAGAACAACTAAATATAAAGATCCTGATTATAGTCATTGTCTCCACTCCCACAAATTCCTTAAAAAAGCAGAATATCATTACTGAGCTCTGAGGAGCAAAATCCCAGGATAACCCACTGGGAGAAAGATGAACTTCCCAGAACAGCTCAGCCTCCCCAGAGATCTACTTCAAAAGACACAAATAAGCAAATTATAAAAAAAAAAAAAGCAGATGCTGTTCACTTAGTTGCTATCCTGACCTTCAGTAACATTTCCTGGACTTTATGAACTCATGAAAGTTCAAACTGTATTGTGAAAGCTGATGCCTAAATGCCTTTATGTCATTATACACGTCTTGTGATAAAAAAATTAACAAGAGTGGGCAGTATGGCAAAATGTACAAAGTAAAGCAGGGATACTTACCTGTGCCATACATCTGTTTTCAAAATTCATATTTTTACCAATCAGTCATTATCCACTTTTATCAAGTCAGATGCACTCGGGTTTATTCAAGATAATTTTCTTGTAATGTAATTGGAATAAGACAATGTAGTGTTACTGCCCATGAAATGAAGGCATTTTTAAGCCCACAGTGAAGATCCTCAACCTCTATGGATCTAATCAAAGCCATAAACCTAAGCACAGTCTGAAGGTAAGCAGCAAGTTTTCCAGCTCTGTGGAATCATTAACACCCTGATACACTGAATTATCTTTATAGTGATTCTAAGCTGTCAATAAATGCTCTCTTCTTGATGATGGGAATGAACCGTTACCTCCATCATCTGTGAAATGCATACCAAACCCATGTTTGTTTCTGATGAAATTCAGCTGGGACTCTGGCATAAGGAACTCCTTTTAATTCTTCGTCTCGCTGGAAAATGCTCATTCATTTCTCTTCTCCAAGTTTTCTGCTCAACCCAAAGAGAATCAATTTGAAATTCAGCAAATAACATTCACTTGAAATATGATAACCATGGAGCATGGGAGTCACTCAGTATTGTCCATTCTATGGCAATGTAAGATGTCACAAATAATGGAGGGTGTTTCAACTATGGGAAGAGCAGTGTCCCAAAATCAAAGCAAAATGGTCAAATGCCTCCCTAAGGGCAAAACCTAGGATTCCTTACTTCTTCACTTATTCTCTGCCCTGGCTCTATTTTCAACAGGAAAGAGGGACAGCATGCATGACAAAGCCTTAACTATTTGCTGTCTCTTCTTCAGAGCATCTACACACTAATCAAAACCTATTTAAACTAAAAAGTGTATGTTAATGATAAAATAACCTTTCTTCTGCTTTTCTCCACAAAAACTCACTTCATTGAACTCTTGGAAAGAGAGCCTATTTCTGGTCTCTTTTACTGAGTAATTCTGTGCTCTCCAGATATAATCTGAAAATATATTTATTTGTTAAAATACTTAATCTAAGAGCAATAACTTATTTCACATTCAAGTATCATTTTTCTTACCTGTTGGATTAGGCCAGAATCTGGTGTAAGGGTCTTGATGTTCACAGATGCAATTTCCAACGTAACTTGATCTGTAAGGTATTCTTCATCTAAGACAAAGAGTGTGAAACACTGGTCTTCCACTCAAATACAAATTTAAATAGTAAGACTATCAAACATAAATTATAGGTGTCTAACACACAAAATTTAACTCCATATCATGATCAAGCACTGGAAATTGCTAGATTAAAAGATGAAAATATTAAATCAGCAGAGACTGTAACAGTAATGCAGAGCATGACTGTGCAAAGAAATATAATCCTTGCAGAGATTAGCTATTAGAGTAGCAGTTGTTTTCTAAACAAACACCACACTACTTTTAAAGCAAGAGTCATGTTCTTCTTTCAGAAAGCTGACTACAGGATCAATACATCAAAGTAGGCTGAGGATGATTATCACAAGTCACTATCGTTTTTGTTTTGCTTTTCTCATCACACAGTGACAGTCGTTGAAATATATACCACATAAATAATTACTTTTTATTCTGCCCCTTTGTGAACTGGGCTCGTCCTGCTTATTTCTACTGCACAGGAATTTTCTGAAGCACTGAAATAATCCATTTCAAAGTGTGTTAATCAACTGCCCTGAGACTCCACTGAAAAGCACGGCATTCCCCATTACAGCACAAACTCTATTAACCTTTCAGGCATCACTTCAGCCCTCAAAATGGGATAGAAGGGATACATAAACCCTTTGTGAACCTTGTGCAAATAGACAAATTCCACTCAGCATGATTAATAAGGTCCTCCTCATCACACCATTTCCATCATTCCCCTAGGTCAGATGCTGACCAACCATTAACATAAGCTTGAAAGAGGTTATATTCCACATGTTTTTACAGAAATGAATGCTCCATGGTGCTGACTACATCTGTAGTGCTGGTACATTTCCATTTGCTGTTTGCCTAGTGGTAAGATCTCATTAAAGAACATCTATTAGCTTTATGAATAATCAGATAACAAAAAGAAGACATATTTCCTTATCTCACTCAATAAATTTATCTGAATCAAAGAACTCATCCTTACACTTGCAAGAAAAAAACCCAAAATCGTTATTTTCCTCTTTTTCTGGATTTATAAGACTGTTGAAACCTAAAGCCAAATAGTATTTCACCCCTAGCAGGGTCAATGTTTAGTAAGGATTATTGTTATTCTTTATTACTGTAGGCCCAGAAACCATGACAAAAAAAAACAAAATGAAAAAAAAAAAGTCTGTCTGAATATGAAGAGCATGGGCATCAAATTTGTGGAAACAGTACGTGTGAAATTTGGTCTATATTTGAGTGAAGGTAGAATTATAATCAAATAATGATAAGCATTAAGACTACCCCTGCAAGATAAAAAGTTCCCATATCTCCCCTTTATTTCATAATCAGTAGAGGGTGCCAAGAACTTTAATAAATTATGGACTCAAAATGGCCCATTAATTAATTGAGCTCTAAAAGCAACAGACAGTCACTCTCACCAATTTACTGTCTGATCAAACATTACATCTGAAGCAAACATAATTGTGTGTTACACAGAATCAGACCTACACATCTCTTATGCCTTTTATCTCACAGGTTCATATTTCTAAGTCTGTATTTTTATAGAAATAGTTATGAAAAGTCATTCTCAGAAAAAAAAATTGAAATAATGGAAATGAATGGAACATTAAGAGGGATTTGTATCACTTTCAACTACAAAGGGGGAATGTCAAGCTATATTTTTATATTAGTACTTCCATCTTCTTACACGTAGCAAGAGGAAGCCGAAACTAAAACTAAATATAAACTGTGTTCACTTCCTTTCATGCTGACATTTCTACTTACGTCTTAACTTTCCTTTTTAAATTAAATGCATTTAAAACATGCAATTTCAGATTTCAAACAACTTTGACAAATTTAAAATTTAGGAATTATCTAAATAATTTTGAGGAGAACCTAATGTCATGGGTGAAATAAAAAACAGGACATGGAAAAGAATGCTACAGTGTAATTGCTTTAGTGCTAAAAACCAATTTTGAATGACCAAACCACCTGCTGCAAATAAGGAGAAAGTAGTTTATGATTTCAAAGTCTTCATCCTGTGTTATACTTCCTTACTGAGCATCACTTCTGAAAAGATGCTCATTTCCTCTAGCTGGCTTCTTTAAGTCCCCAAAATAACCTCTGACCTTTCTCTAAACCCAGTCATATACTGCTCACACTCCTCAACAAAAGTTTCCATTGTGACTAGCTCCTGCTTAGTTTTCTGTGTCTGTCCCGTTGCAGACCTGCTGTGCAACACAGGACAGAGACACACTATCTGCAGAGGCTTTCTCAACTAAGCCCCTGCCCATGCATTCCCTGGACAAAGCCCAGTGGTGAAGCCTGGAATGACAAAAAAAACACCTCACATGTCAAGGAAACCATAAAGGGGATATTCACACTGTGTAATCCATGTAATTTACTTCAGTGCAATACAGAACCTGCACTCCCTTTCTGCATTTTCAGTGAGGAGAGGCAACAACCTGTAAAGAGTTGACCTAATAGTAGGGTCCCAAGTAGATGGTATTAACATCTGCTGAAGGCAAAGGACGGCACGAAGAGTTGCTTGGTTATGAGGCTGAAAATGCAATCAGAAGCAAAAGACCTGAAGGACATTTCTTGATTTATTGTTTCTGCCAACCTGAAAGCACTGGTAACCTCTTCAAAGCCACCTTCTAACATAATGATGTCTCTACCATCTGTTGTCTGAGCACTGTTCTTCAAAGTATTTTCCTTCCAGACTGAGAACCCAGATCTTCTGGTGATAGTTTTAGACTGATTTTTAGATCAAAACTAAACTTTGGAAGGATATTTCAGAAGTTAAATATACACACCAAATTGACTTTAAAAATACAGAAGAGGACATTACATTTAAAACACACATCTAGGAAAAAGTATGAGTGTTTCAATCTTTGGATAACACCACCGGTTTTATTGCACGTAACAACACATATCTATGACACCTGAATAGACAGAATTCACAATACTTACCTTTAGGTACCCCTGTGTCTTGGACAGGATATTTTTCAGTCTGTCACATAAAGGCAAGAAACACAGATACTTGTTATTTCAAATGTAATTGTGCTGGAGAAAGAGCATATAAAATCGTGTAATTATAGTTGCATCACTTAAGTTACTACTAGTTGATCTGTTCACCATCAGATACAGTAACACTTCTTACGTGGTAACTGAGATGCTACTAGCAATTTTGATTAGCACATGCAAAAGTAATAGAGATTGCTGTGTTGCTACAGTATTTTTAAATGTATTACTTTCTAGTGAAATAGCAGAGATTGGGAAAGAAATTTTGCACTTAAGTAGCAAGATAATCTGGAAAAGGTAATGCATACCAGGAGGAACAGAGATGATTTAAAATGCTTTTTTAGCAGACAGGAGCTTTTGATAAATTATTGTATTGGGAAAAAAAAAAAAAGAAAGAAATATTTGCCCCTTCTTTTCTAAACTTAAATAGTTAATTAAGATGCAAGAGAAAATTATTATTACTGAGTCTAAGGAGATAGCTACTGATTTGTGGGCATGTTATAACTTACTATTATGCCGGAAATCTACCTCCTTCCCTATGACCTTCACCCTTACGCAAAAGTAGGTGAGGCTTTTAAAGAAGCTCATAACCAAGCAAATGGATTAAAAGATCTTTTATGGTGGGGTTGTGAGTGAAAGAAACTTCATGTCTCAGACATAGCAACTTTCCCTCACCTTTAAAAAAAAAATCTCCTTAGCAAAATACAGTATCTAATTTAGTCAGTCCACAAAAACAAAGACAAGTCTATAGTTTTTATTAAAACCTGCAAGCAAAAATTCAAATAAACATACTGCAATAATGGATATCAGTGCAGCCTCAGCATTAAAGTACTAGTGAAATTTTCAGAGTTTCCTGCAGAGTCCCTCTTGCAAAGCTTCAAAATGGGAAGAAAACACCAAGACAAAGCAATAATTTGCTCACTTGCCATTCATAAAATAAACTAATGCATTTCAATCTGTTTACATAAATACATTTGACAATAGTCTTCCCTGGGGTACATGGCACTGTAAATTTTCCCCCAGAATAAATAATCCATAGCAACACTAAAAAAACCCACCAAACAAACAAAGAAAAAAATCCCCCCCCAAAAAAACAAACAAAAAACCTCCAACCAAAAACAAAATAAACCCCCACATTTAAAAGACTTCATAGAATTTCATATTACTTCTACCCCAGCAGATATACTCCTACCTCAGCATAAGACTGGCATGCTCGATATCCTAAGACACTTGTCCTAAGCGATGTTCCTCTGCCAGTAAGCACTAGAGGGCTCTGTTTGGTCCCTCCCTAGGTTCACCCGTGCCTGCCAAAGGCACTGCTCTTTGGTACTACCTTTCCACGACTTCAACTCATCTGGCACAGGAAGGAATAACAGCTTAGTACAATAAAAATTATAGGTCCTAGGTGGGTTTTCTTATCCCTCCAAACTATATAGACAGAAGAATGTCAGCACCAATTTTTCTCGGTTCTTGGGGTTTTTTTAAATTAAAAAGATGCCACTATCGTAGCCTCTGGAGGCTATCCCATGGACAGCTCTGCTGACACCATCCAATTCAGCTGGTGCACTGATTGGTATTTTTATTTACACTTTAATTGCACAAGGTTAGTAAATTAAAATTTGTTTATGCAATCATACAGATAAGCAAAATCCTTATTTAGAGTTAGCATCCTTGAACCTTTTTACCTCACTTCTGCATTACATAACCATAGAGAGCTATAATGATTTGAACAGTATTAGACCAGAAACACATACCATTGTTAAGGAAAGAGTGCTTGGATCTGTATCCTCCACTGGCTCTTTTGCTGCATGATCTGCTGGAATAAGAAAGCTTTATCACTACATAATCATCAAAGTATTTCTGTCTGCCAATTCATATTTTGCTTCTTTGTCTGACCAAGATAAAGCACAACTATGCAGCCATTACATGCATTATGTCATTACATTTCCACAAGAAAACATGACAAACTGGAAAATGTCAGAGCACATAGATGAGAAACTACATGCAACAACAAAACCCAACTCTAAGCTAACAAAAAAAAGACTTACATGAAAATTATTTTTAGTTAAAAAAAAATCACAAAACAATTCACTAATAAAGAATAAAATCTAGTAAATTTTCTAAAAGCTGAGTTCTGTTCTTCCAGTGATAGCACTCCTTTTTTTACTCAAAGAAATAATTCAAACAGGAAACATACCCACTTCAACAAAAATTAATACTATAACAAACAGCAGATTGTAGTAACCTAATTAAAAAACATATTTGAGGAAAATATTATTTGTATAAAATAGAATAATAAACTTCAACTATATGAACATCAAAAGAATACAAAAAATAAGTCTTCAAAGTACCTTCAGGTAAATCATGAAATGTCAACCCCTCTGCATCAGTGGCTAAACTGACAAATAATAGGGAGGTACTGGCCACAGGTGTACAGAAAATCTAAAACAAATCTCATACAGAAGTCAGGTTTCAGAAAACCACTCCTGTAATTTAACATCATCCTGCCATATTTTCGAGAAATGTCTTCTGATGATAAGTATCAATGTTCGCAAAAACTGAAAAGCATTTTAAATTATGTAGTAAGATCTTCATTCCATTTTTGTCACTCTCACTCAAAGTCCTTATACTCATTACAAGTACACATTAAAAGTTTTCAGCTGCAACCAGTAAGAGGTGATTGGAATCAACACTTGGTGATTACCTCCTCCCAAATATAAAAAAATAATGCATTTAGAACACAGTTCAAGAAATTAACTATAAAATGAACAGTAGAAACAATGAACCCCAAATAGTACAGAAGTTACACAGACATTATTCTAACCAACTCAAATTTAGCATAATTGTTTATTTTGGGACCCACTGCTACAAATCTACTCAACACAATAGAACAAGCTAAAGTGTAAAAATGCAAGACAGTCCAATATATTGAAAATAAAAAAGGTGGCAGCAGTGGAACAGAGCTGTTCTCCCTCCTGCTTCTGTGAGGCAGCCTCACCAGCAGCAGTTCCTGGGTGTCCAGTGTGGTGCCCAGCTCCTCTCTGTGATGCCAGGCAGAGCCTTTCTCAGCACTAGAGCCCACAGAAAATCCACAGGCATTGTCCAGGCAGGTGGCACATGATCAAAGGGGTCAGACGACAAGGCTTGAGCACAGTCTTTGCACAGAGACACACTGAATGTTTTGAAAAGGCAGGGGACTATGAAATTTCAGATGAGCATTGTTCACACTGCAGTTTAGGAAGCCATATGCAAAAGAGGAAAAAAAAACCCTACCAAAACCCTATATTCTTGTCACACATGCCCCTTTTGGTAAATATGAAATCCCTGCTCCAGAAACATGATATTAACAGAATGATCTGGATAAAGCCTTCCCTGATAGCAAGAGTCAGCACAAACTGAAGCACATAAACTTCCCAGTTCAAATGCAGAGAGGATGATAGTCAGCAGGATATAAGAAAATACAATAAGCTGTCATAAGACATTGCACAAAAGTAGGGCCAAAAAAGGAGATTCCTTGTGGGAACTGTAGTTGAAAGCTGCAGAGGAACTGGAAAGGAAGCTGGGGCAAAGAGAAGCCCACATTGTAAAGGAAAGCTGAAAACAATGAGGCACTGGCAACCAAAGGCTCTAAGCAAGAAGGCCAACCCAGGCATCCCTAGTCTCCCTGTTTTTCCATTCAAACCCAATGGCGAAGCATGCAACCAATGTTAGAGGAGCCTTGAGGTAGATAAAAGCAGACCCCATAGAATGCCCATGAACCTTGCTGGCTATGTAGCTATGGTAAGGGCTTCATCCCCTATCCTCTGTTACACCTCCAAGATACGACCAAGGTACATTATGGCACTGGTAACTCACTTTCTACGATCCAGAGGGAAGCACTGAAAAAATGGGAGAAGCTCCGAGAATACGGGCATTTGAAACAAGGACTGGACAAACTCCAGGATGTCTCTACAGGAGGTGATGGGGTCCTGTGTGGTATCTTTGACTCTTGCTTTCTAGGTTCACTCAGAAACACACTCACGTGAATCTATGACTCTGCATCTTTCTTGCTTAGTATCCACCCTGAAAAATATTTTAAAACTCTGTTTCTTTTCCTATACCTTAATTTCTTCCCTTTTTTTACAGTTCTTCATGATGAACAATGACTTCCATGTTTTTTAGGTTGCAGAGTACAACCAAGTCCCAACATTTTCTATAAGTGGTATGTATGTTTATGAATATTTATACCTAAGATTAAAGACTCAACATACTGGGCTGCGGATGATTCACTGTGGTCTTGTTGGCCACTGATAGTACGCAGATAATCTGAAAACCAGACTTAATATTTAATTGTGAGTAACACAGTTAAAATGCCATGTCCCCTCTCTCTTTCTGCAGCTCATGTCATATAGCTGGGCACAGGTGCACAAAGCAGCAGGGAGGAAAGTTCTCTGTTTATCTCAAATGTAAACCATCCACAGTTTTGCATGCTGAAAGGCCAACAGGAAATGAAGGTATCATCTGACTGACTATTCAGTGCATATTGTCTGATTTCACAGTTACTTTCACAGACAGCTTCATAACAACATTACCTGGAATCCCGCAAAAAAATCACTATCACCATACTCCCCACTGACAGCACACAGCCACTGGCCTACATTTACTTCCCCACTCTTCTACAGGGAACCACAAGGGAGTTGACTCAGATGGACATAAATCAGCACATGCAAATTGTCTCGGACAGTCATAAGCCAGGTTCGATGGTTGCTTCCAAGGTTCATTTCTGCTTGCATGCTGTTGCACCTGCACACTGCCCAGTGGCTGCTGCAGCTCTGCCTGGGCCCATCCAGTATAACCAGTCTGCACGAAGAGCAGCCGACTTGTACCAATGCCCACCGTTGCTCTCTGTTCAACACTGCTACTACAATGGGGATGCAGTGCTGTGCACTTACCAGCACGAACAGTTTGTCAATTCTGTATCTGCTTTTCATTTTTGCATTGGAAGGAAGCCTGAAGGTGAGCTTTATAGACCTCAGCATTTTGACCTTTAAGCAGAGGGGATTCACAAAGCACTACGTAGCACAGACGGAATTCCCCCCCCGTTAGTTTTTTCCTTGCAACACAGCCTTGACACTATCAGCAGTGAGTGAAACATATAAGCTGGACCATAGCTGGGTAGTTCAACCACGCACAAAAAGAGACCCCTTTCACACCAAGGTTGGGCACACACATTAATAGTTCAACTTCATACAACTTAAACAAAGTTATCACCCTAATACTAATGTTGTTAATAAAGATGAAAACCCTGTAACTCAAATCAATAACGGTTCTTTGACTAGAAGCACCTGAATTTCAGATTTTAGTAAGAGGAGGAAATATGGCAAATTGTATCAGAATAATCAGCTCTCTGAAAAATCTGAGTCCATCAGCACTTGTGCAGTTTTGTTTACTGTTAACTACTCAATATTTTGTCCCTGTCTGAGCAGATAAGTAGGGAAAAACTGTGATGCTGGCACACCTCAGATAAGGTACTCAAGTCATTTGCCTCATTAGCTGTGTAAGTTAAAATGTGTGGACTTCCTAACCACCCAAACTCTGGGATTCTAAGAAAATGTCTTTCTACAAATGTCTTTTTAACGTGCTGCTAACTAGCGCAAACTAACTTACACGCTAAACACTGTAGCAGGCTTGACAAGACAGGTTGTACTAAATCACATCAGCAGAGCACATGATAAATTATTACCACGCTTAATTAGCGTGTGCGGAGGGGGAAGGGAGCAACCAGCAAACTCTTTTTATCCCAGCCGGGGCTACGCTCCTCACCTGGCTCCCCTGAGCCGCGGCCCCGGGTCACCCTAGCCCGCAGGTGGTCGCGGCGGGCCGCGCCCCGCACAGCGCCTGTCCCGGACCCGTGGGGGCCCCGGGAGCCGCCGCCGCCCCTCGGTGCACTCCCCGCCCGCCCGGCTCCCCGCGGCGGGTCCTCACCTGGGGGCAGCGGGTCCTGCGGAGCGGCCATGGGGCGGCGGCGGCGGGTCCCGGTGCGAGGAACGCGCAGCGCCCGCCGACGTGCCCGGAACCGCCGCCCCGCCGCGCCGCCCCCTTCCTGCACCGCCCCGCCGCAGGTAGGGCGCTCCCGCGAACGAGAGGTGGGGGGGGAAAGGAAGGGAGGTCTCACACCTCGACGCCCGCAGGGATAGAGAGCGCGTCCGTCGGGAGCCCGCATTTCCCAGGGGGGAACACCGCGCTGCCGCGGATACGTCGAATTAACAGCTCCGGGCTCCACTATGTGAAAACGCCGTGTTTCCCTAACACCACACACACAGGGTGCATATACGACTCCTCAAGTAATGCTAGTTTGGACCTAAAGTCAATTCAACAACATAAAATCGAGTGCTCTCTCTCCTGCTCTTACGGGTATTAACGCGCTCAAATCGCTGCCTTCAGACGGAGAAAGGCGGTCTCCATTAGGGTTCAAGGTGCTCCTGCAGGTGGCTCAACGTGCACGGACAGAGTTTACCAACGCCGAGTATGGCAAAGCGACAATCATAAACTGCACTGGTTTCTCACAGATATTTAAAATTCGTCCACTTTTGCTACAGTCACTTCCAATACCACGACGATGTTAAACTTTTGAATGTAATTGCTTTGAGCCTCCACTGTCATCTCTGGCAAATTCTCTCACTTAAGGTTTCAGTATAAAAGTAATGCAGGTTTCTTAAATGGGGTCTGTGCGTGAAATCGCTTTCCAAATGAGAAATATTATGTATTGCTATTTATTGTACCATATAAGCAAAAGAAGCCAGCATAACTGAATATGCCATTAGAAAGATCACA